AACTAAATTACATCGAAAGGAATTGCATGGGAGGAGTGGACAACAAGAATGGATGAAGGGATGGGGTATTTATGAAATAAAAGCGCTTTAGTGGAAACACAATTGCTACCATAGGTACAAACTGGGAGCTACGAGAGGAGAGAGAGAGGTTTGGCATTGAAGTGAACGGTGTATGGTGTGAATCTTGCCTTTGTGGCAATGCCCTTGAGTTAGCCAGTGAGGCACTGAATGGTGCATTGTGGATGCGCAGTTATCTCCAAGGCTTCCCTTTCAGTGTTATTAGAAAACACATGACGGCCATGCTAGCTTTATCGAACAGAAAGCTTCAAGGCTGTGGAGGCTGAGAGGTAAACCTGCAGGAGGTAAGTGAAATGGCAGCATCTGACGCCCCGTCATTCTCTCAGCATTCGGGCGTACAGCCACTATGGTAAGACATCACAATGCATGCATGCAGTCATTGAGTACGCATGCAACATGTAGAAATGATGATCACTATGTAGTATGTAAGCGTTTACTGTATATGCTAGAGATACCCAGAGCTGATCCTAACAATTGGTACCTTGTTGTAACAAACCATTTGGCAGAGTTAGGTTAGAATGTTACAGCCACAGGTGGTTTGCCTTGGCGAGGGTGAGGCAAGCGGTATTCAGTTGGTTGCAATCTGCCACCTCATCCCTAGGTGCCACTAAATCCCCCATACTGGACCTTCAAGACAGTTGGGCACTACAGTCAGACTTTGAATCAAGTAGAAAATAGTGTAGGCTCCAGCTACTATTTGAATGTGCCAGATAGATCTTTTATCAACATTGTCTACCTTTTGCTGTTTTATGTGTATAAGTATTTTCATTATGTATACGGGGCATCTTTGGCACAAACATTGATTGTGGGATGAATCAAGTCCTGCCTTATCTCGTTTTCAGGTTGTGGCTTATGTGTGTGCAGGCCAGAGCCGCTGTGTCATTTAGTATCAGATGGGACTCTGCAGATACTCAGTGTTAAAGGACTCAGATCAGGATCGGGACAACCCAGGTTAATGCTGATTCTAAATAACAGGAATCACATCTAATTACATAGAAATAATTTCACAATACAATAAAGACAAAGCTTAATGGAGGAGGAGAAAGGACCTCAGTTAATCTACTATATATATATATATATATATATATATATATATATATAACCACAATTGAATTGAACAAATATGAAGCTGCATCAACAGATTTATAATGAAAGCATTGTTTTTTACTGGAGCAAACAAAAGGATTTTGTTCCAATCAATCCTACCTCTCCTGGGAATATCATGTACAAAAGCTTATCTATTGACCAGATTCCAAAGTCTCAATATCCCATAGACAAAAAAAAACAATAGCTATTTGATTACAACTGTAGTTCTGTCCAACCAAGACTCTCATTCATTTATCAGTGTTTACTTCTAAGCTTCATCTATTTTCTGTGCATAACATTCCCAATATTTTCCCCATATTTGATTTAGTAGCTTTCACTGTAGACAATATTTCCTGCCTCGATTGGCTGCCAGTGAGCTTTGTTCCCTCTTAATGTGGAGAAAAAATGATGGGAGAAGAGGGCTGGTGGGTTAGACAGAGAAACGGGATCCCTTTCAATAATGCAATAGTGAAACTGGGCAATATGACCACCATGTGATCTCCTACAGAATAGAAACAACGGTGAATACCAGCCCAGCTGTGCTCGTGAATTCATCTCATGTGAAATGTCCGTTAAATCAAAGCCGGAGCTTGAGAAAGAGTCTGGCAGTCATCTTTTTTTTTGGGATAAATAAAACATGGCAGAGATGACTCTGTTGCCCTTTATTCCTCTCTCACTCTGTTTCTATCTTGAGTTTTTCACTTTTTAGCAGCAGGAGGTACAATAGCTCCAACGGGCTGCAGCTCCGAGCCTCGGTCACTAAGGGCTTGTCAAATCGAACTAAATTAAAAGCCAAATTATGTTCCTAAATTGAAATGAAACTTTGTATTTTGCTGCTGTATTGTTGAAACTACCATGCTTTCCCTCTGCACTCTGCATGACATTCAGGTTGCAGAAAGGTTAGAGTGGCAGTTATCCTACCTGACCTACCCTACTGTACGATGATCTGAGGGCAATCGGACATCTGTCATGGAGCACGACAGCCCGGCGCTTCTCCTCCTGTTCTGCATGTGGATAGAGTGGTGGCGTGCTCCAGGCTGACCAGTCCCATGGCTTAACAGTGTTATCATGTCAGTGTCAGAGGGCAAAGGTACATTTATTGATTTTACCCTGATACCCTTACAGTACATATACTCTAGGTCCTAACTGATGTTTCAAATCAAGCAGTCTGTCCAATTGGTTTTGCCAGTCAAGCACCCCATTATAAAGGATATGGTTGGCATTATTCTCATTATTTTTCTTACTGTTGAAAAAGAGACCAAAACCAGCAATGTGTTCATCCATTGTTCAGTGCTTTCTGACTTTCCTACCCTGTCTGTGCGGCCCAAAGCCCACTTACTAGGCTATTGAAGATGTAAATCTTTAAAAGAAAATCCATTTACTGTAGTAAATGGATTAATCTTCATATGTTTGGGACTATTTTCAGCTGAGGATTTAAACATTTGGCTCCCTAGTGAGTATTAACAGCAGGGGTGACTAAAACTTAAAGGATCATCCGATTAATTGATTAGTTGATCAGCTATGTCGATAATAAGTCGAGTCATTTTTCAAGTAAAAATGCCAAACATGACCTGCTCCAGCTTCTAAACTGTGAGGATTTGCTGCAGTTTTCTGAAATCACAGATAGCTCCTTTTCAACATGAATGATCCACAAAGAAATTCATTTACAGTGAAGCCTACAAAGCCACGGTTCTTCACACGGATGACTCAAGTTGTGCAGCAACACTCATGTGACTCACTCTACTTAAAACACATCCAAGCTGTGGTGCACTCGCTCACTCGTTCACTGCCAACACTGCCGCCTCACTGATCACTCTGCAACACATCTGCTATGTTCTTCGCTCATTATTTCGACATTTCATGGGCCCCGTCTCCTCCCTCAATCCACCTGTAGGCACTGATTCTAGGTTTCTCCTCTGGGGTAAGTCTGTTACCGTCACTTTGTGTTCTCTCCGCGTTTTAAATGGTACGCTTGCAGGTGAGTGATAGCCGAGTCCCGTCCTTGCGAGACATAAAAAATACATTTGGACTGCTGAATTACAACCCAGCTTCTAATTGATAATTAAATTACCAGCTGTAGGGGAGTCTATATATGCATGTGGCGAGAGAGCAGAATTTTTATTTCAACCATTCTTCATAACTTAGCCCGGCCTGCATGTTTTACATTATTTAGTCGTTTTTTTTTTTTTTGTGCAGTCTGCCTTTTCCATTTCATCTCATTTCAGTTCTGCATAAAGTATTTGACTGTTGACATCCATATTATGGCACGACATAAATATTTATTTTACAGCCTGGCAGGGAGCCATCGTAAACACAGGCTCCATTTTAAAACCTGGCAGATGTAGAACAACTTATACCTATTCAGCTTGTGGAAACTGCATATTGCACACACAGGCACATTTCACTTTCATGCACTCACAATATTGCTTTTTTTTTCTGCCAAGCATAGGTCACTACTTTCAAACATCATGCAACGCTTTACATGGAAATGTAACCACTGTGGAAAACGGTGGACATGTAAAGAGAATGTACAGCCAGTTTTGAAAGGGTATACTCAACACCTCTCAGGCCAACATTAAAAGACTGACAAAAACCCTCCTGATCCCTACATGCAAACTTGCCCTTAAGATACATATGCTTAATCTAATATTTATGCTATGCAAATTTCCAAGTTGCAGCTAATTTCAAAACTTGGGATGCAGAAATAAAAAACCTTGGGGCTAGTTAACTAATTGACTTGCAAATGCATCTTTGTTACACTGCCAATGCCAGCTGAATGGATGTCAATAGGTCAGGACACATTCACCAGAGGAAAAAAAGAAAAGATCTCGTGATGAGCAATTCACTGAAAAAGTGGAAATATTTTTCAACAATACCTATCATCTCAGTCTTCCAGGCTTTTTTAACAGCACACTTACTTTTGATAAAACTGGTAGTTGGCGATCCCCTACAGGACAACCCATCTTTTATACCCACCGGATCAGCTAACCTTTTATTACTATCAAATTTCTGCACATGCCTGCAAAATTCAAATAAAAAGCATCTTCAGATTTCAAAGCAACCAGTATCAATTAGAAGTTGCCCTCAAGCAACCACCTTCCTGTAACCGACCTTGGGAGTGCACTGTGAAACAATAGCTGGGGCTAATTTACATTAAGTGAGCAAAATGCGACATAGACCATAGTTTCTATCATTTTACTGATCATTTCTCAAAAGAACAGCTTCTCAATGGACCGATTCACGCGGTTAGAGAGACCTTCTGGCAACTGTCCACATGCGGTGGCTTTAGCAGCTAAAATGTAAAAAAGAAAATGAAAACGCACTAATTACTCACACCGCAGGTTATGGGTACGATGTGGAACAGATATGCACACTGGCCAAGGCCAACAGAGCGGCACTATCTTAGAGTGAAGCTGAACAAAACTGCTCTCCAAACTGATTTTGAATCAGTTTAATTACAGTGCGTTAAACGGGACCCGACTCAGTTTAAACCTTTAAAAAAGGCTCATCTTCTAAACCCCCCCCCCCCC